ATAAATCAGATCATTGTGTTGTACTAATATAATGTTATGTCAGTTATGCTTCAATTAAAAAATAAACAGCCATGAGGCAGTGAATCTGGGCTGTTTCATTGCATTGCTGTGGATGCTGGCAAGACTGGATGATTTAGAGAGGATCTCCTCCAACAGCATTTATGGTCTTGAATAGCTGTTCCTTAACTCCATGTTTCTCAACCTTGACGGATGCAAAGACTAGTTTTAGAAGGGAAAAAAATGCTTATAATTCTCATAGTGTTCATTTTTTTTATTATGTCACTCAAATATATATGAACTCTAAAAAGTCAATCTGAATTCCTTGTGCTCATAGCTCTAAAAGAAATTTATAACTTCAGCATAGAATATAAGCCGAGCTGCAAAATGAGTACTGTTTAAATGAGAAATATTGGAATTTGTAGCAGGAAGACGTTCATGGAGGTAGCATTTGAGCTAGTCTTTCAGGAGCAAGTAGGATGAGTAGTGAGGAAGTAGGGATTGGGAGATCAAGGCTCAGGCAAATGAAAGAGAAGGAGGGGAGAGCCCAGATGTGTGAAAATGCAGCATGTAAGTGGAACAGAGAATGGGGTTCTTTGGGCTCTAATGTATGGTGTGGGAGACATGGGGCATAGAATCTTTGCAGCTAGATCATGGGGGCCTCGAGTATTGGGCCAAGGAAGTAAAACCTCATTATGGATGGGAACCACTGATGCAGATATGAGCAGAAGAATAAGAGGAGCAGTGCTAAAGTTTTTATCTGCGGCAATATTTAAATCAATTGAAAGCGTGAAGAACGAAGATTGAAACCCCCAGCTAAGAGGATAAATCCATGAGAGCAGCTATTTGGTTCGCTACTGTATTATCAGGTCCCAGAACTGGGCTGGTCCTTGATACGTGTTTGTTGAATGAATGTGTAATGCCTGAATGACTGGCAAGGGATGTCCAGGGAGAAATGTGTAACATACAGTGTGGACTCTGAGCTCAGAGTAGAAGTTAGTAACTGGACGCATGGATTTGGGAATTGTCCATCACTGAGTGGATCCTTGAGAGATGTATACAGTTGTAAAGGAGGGAGAAAAAGTGAACAGGCTAAGGGTGAGACCTTAATTAACTCCTGCAATTACCATTAACGTAAAGGATGGAAAACTGAGAGCAGGAGTGACCAGAAAGGTGAATCAAGAGATCACGTTGCCCAGCAGACAAAGGAACAGTGTGTGTGCGTGTCCAGGTGATAAATACTTATTTAAAATTTTAAGGTTGATTTTTTTTTTTGAGCAGACTTACTTTAAAGGACTCATGGGTTCATGCTCTCTTAACATTAAAAATTTTAACGGGTATGTGAGACAATGTTGAAGGGGATCAAGGTCAAACCAGGCAAATAAAATATATCCCAGGACATGTGGGGAAATTTCAGGATGGTATTAACATATTTTGGAATTTAACACTCTGTTCTTTCAGAGTTCTTGTTACTACATCTTTGAGCTAAATATATAATTTTTTTAGTATGTTATACATAGTACTTAAACAACAGGATAATTATATCACAAAAAATTGTTTACTCCATGAATTCATTTGAATAGTGTCTCCGGTAGTGACCTGCCCTAAGATATTTTAAGTAATTATATTAAGCTTTGCTTCTAGACAATTTTTGTAAAACTAATTTTGCCTCCAGCAGGCACTTGGTTCAGTTGTTTAAAAAAAATAAAAAAGACATAAGCTCAAAAATAGGCATTGGTTTCTTACAACTTTATGGCTTCAAAAAATCATTCTGAATCCTCTTGATACACCGTTTACTACCTCAGCAAGCAGTAGGATTTAACATTAAATTTTCATTTTGATTAACTTGACTGCAATTGTTTCTTGGCTGCCTCTTTAGGGCCCACTGTGGAATAAAATTAAAACAGTTTTTATGATTTAGCAATTTAGTTGCAGAAAACGACATTTTTCTTTTTTCTCTGAATGGCACTGTGTTTTCCCTCTGAGTTTCCTGCATACACCCCATGGCCCGGGTTTCTCCTTTCTCTCATCCATCTTTTGTAGAACCGCCAGATTAATTTTCCTAAAGCAGAGTTTTAGCCATTCTGTTTCCCAAAACTCCTCAGTGGCTCCCCATTGCCTCCCTCTGGTCTAAGCCCAACTCACTCTTCATAGAAGGATCAGCCCAAATGCTATATATTCTTGTTAAAATTTTGTCGATCTTTTCTGCTAAATTCCCCATCTCCACTCTCCGTATCTTATTCCTCTTGCATAACATTCGTTCATCTAGCCCTACCTTGCCTGAAACTACACGTGAACACACCTCACCCAGGAGAACGCAGAGACCAGGTCTCCTTTATATTTTTGCTCACTCCTCCACTGCTTTGCACGCAGAAGGTACTCAGTAAGTGTTTGTGGATCATCAAAGTATACACATTAAATATGTGACGTTCTTTGTATATCAGTTATACCTCAATAAAGCTGTTTTTCTTTAAAAAGGCAAAATAAACACATGCTTTGTTGGATAGATGAATGAGGAATATCTTAAAATGACAAACTTGCAAGTGGCCCTCCTTTCTTGTGTATTTCTGATCCCTTGTGTTTTTCCCCTAGCACTTTTCACGTTGTGATTCACAATTTCATCATTCGTTTTTGTTAATGGTGCTGTCTGTCTCCTTCCTGGTGGGTAGTGCGTGTCCTGGGGCAGGGGTGTGTGTTTTGTTTCCTGATGTACCCCAGGCACTCAGAGCAGCACTTGTCATCCTGGTTGAGTGAATGAGTGAGACTTGAAGCTGAAGATCAGTTTCTCCCTGTTTCTCGGATTATTGTTGGTGGTTTTCAAGGCAAAGGACTGTGATGTTGAAAGGGCAGGGGAGAGAGAGGGACGAGGAAGTCCGTTTTCTGCCACTTTCTAGCCGTGCAGCTTTGAGTAAGTTTCTTCCCTGCTCTGAAGGTCATTTCCTCACCTGTAGAAGGGACTGAAACTATAATGTTTATTTAAGGATTGAGTTTTAGGAAGGAAAAGCTTCCAATAAAATTAATAGCTGACATTTCCTGATTGTTCCTCATAAAACATGGACAGGCTTGTGCTACACCTTCTCCATCGCCATCACTGCATCTCTTCACAGCCACTCTGTGAAGCAGGGACCCCCATCCCAGTGAAGAGAGGATGGTTCCTGGCCAGGACCACACAGCCGTGGGGACAGAGCTTTAACTACACCAAGGCTGCTGGATTTCAGAGCCTGAGCTTCTAACTGCTGCCTCCTGTATATGTGCCCTTCCCACTCTTCTGCCTCCTGGTGCGGAGCATGTACAGGGCTGTATAATTTCTCCTTTGGAGCCTCTGATCCAGATCTTTCCTGCCCTAATGTGCTTCAGAGATGCAAAGGGCTCATGAGTACCAGTGATCCCCTGGTGGTGTCTTAACCTGGTCCTCCCAAAGAGTGAAGGGCAGAGGTGGTTGAAAAATTCCCCCTAGGAATCAGGCCCTCCCACTCCTGCAAAGGAACCATCCAGGCTTGTCTCTTTTGCCCACCTCAACCCCTCTCGCCAGATTAAGCTTTTAACTCTTTGTATTCCCTGTGACAAAGATAAAGTACTCTTGCATTAAGACTGTTTCAAAGATTGTTGCCTTATTGGTTTGGAAGCAAATTAGATAACTTATGTTTGTAATAACTAGGTTGATAATGACAGTCTTCTCTGCTTTATTTATTGAAAAAGTACTGACACTTTTAAGAATGACTATAAGGTCATTTCAGAACACATAGTGAACTCATTAATAGTTATTTGAATTATTATGATATAATAAATAGCAAAAATAAGGAAGGCTTATTGTTTTCTGTATAAAGGAGTTAGTCTTTTCAGTGATTTTTTTCAAGCATTTAAAATTACTAAACCAGGACTAATGGGATGGATTATTTAAACATTAAAAAAGGCATCTTTTAAGTTTCAGACACTAGATTTCTCTTTGGAAATAGCTTGTCATTGGTTCAAATGCTGAAAAGTTACTTTAGAAAATATTTAAATGAAAAAATAATTTCACTTGTATGCATTAAAGCTTCAGTATTTTTAATTGATTGGCAAATTTGGTGGGAGGCCAGAGAGAACTAGCAAAGCATATAAAATTTAAAAGGAGATACAGGTATTTAATCTCAAGTGCTAAACAGAGAGATGTTTATTATTTATTTTTGGTAGTTATATTGTAGTGATTAAGAGCATAAGCTTTGTAATCTGTCTGACCGAGGCCTGAATCTGCACTTTTCTGCTTTTTAAATCTGTGAGCTTAGAATAACGTTCTGAACCTTGATTTTTCTCACTTGTAAAGAAGGAAATACCTACTCATAATGTTGATTGTATTACATGAAATAATACATGCAAAGCATTTAATTGGTGGCTAATGAATTGTTGGCATTTCATAAATGTTTGCTTTATTATCATTGAACTTTGTAACCATTAAGATAGAAAGAGGTATTTGAAAGTCTCTTTGCAAATAAATGGAAAACGTTCTTATGGAATCCTGGGTACGGTCATCAACTTGGTCTAGAATGCCTTTTTTATTGCTAATTCAGAAGTGAACTTTATCTTATCTTGGATAAACTGTCAACTTCTGCATTAGTGAAGTTTTAACTAATGAAATTTTGTTGCAGAGAATGGAGTAAACAGATGCTAATTCTAAGCTTTTTATCTAAAATTATATTTTCTAGGAGAATGCATCGAAGGGCTGCGGGAACATGACTACCTTCTGATTCATTCGTGCCGTCAGTGGACCACCATCACTGCCCATAGCTTGGAGGAGGGGCACTATGTCATTGGGCCAAAGATTGAGATTCCGGTACATTATGCAGGTAAAACTTCTCTCTAGGGGTAAGAAGAAACCAAAAAAGGGAACTTGAATATGCTCATTTTTTTCCTCTACAGTGAGAATAGGAATTGACTATAAACTAGAGAGTATAATGATTTAGAAAAAGAAGACTCGAACACTTTGTGTGTGATTATTTTATCAGCGAAAGCTCTGATTCGTTTTGTCCTAGGCATTTCTAATTAATGCATCTAGTTCAGTGCGGATTCTTGCTAGATATTTATAAAATGAAAATGTTACACACACAAAGGTCGCCTCTGTCATCTTGGAATGACGGTCAGTATGTGTAGCCAGCCTCTGGGCACCAGTGTCTTAGAATAATCCTGGGCACAACTTGAGCTTTGCATTTGTGAGTGACAGTGATGTCGCGGTTTCACAAGATGCCATTTCACGAGCAAGCCTCCTGGTTGGTTTTAAATGGATTGGATTGGAGGGCCAGATACCTGGACGTGTCCTTCTTTGCGAGGAGGCATTGAGAACCCAGGCAGCTGAGATGATGTCTCTGCTTTAGTTAAATCAAAACAATAACTGCCTGCTTGCCTCACTTGGGGCTCCGTTCAGTTTAACAATGTCATTTAACTAACTTATTAAGCACTTCCTAAGTGCCAGCACTGATCTGAGAGTTCAGGATACATCCAGTGGTTTGAATACATTTTAAATAGTGGCAGCTTATGAAATTTTTTTAATTATAAAGAATTATTAAAAATTCACTTTAATTTTTATATATACACATATATATATATATACATTCTATACTTTGTCTAGTGCGTATAGTTCATTATGTGAAGGATCTTGACTTTTTCTCTGCTCTCGTTAATTTTTCAAAAGTCTGTAGCAGGACACTTCAACCTATGAACCGTAAATTGTGTAGCTCTAGACTGCCGTCGTGTTTCTGAGGGAGACCACTACATTTCCCAGAGAGTTGTCTGTTTGGAAAAGGGACCTCGCTGTATTCCTTGTGTCCAGAACACGTGTCATATGTTCAATAAGTATTTCATTGGATGAATGAATGGTTTCGTCCGCCTTTAATTCCCAGGAGTCTCCTTTACTGGATGTAACCTAGAGATCACTAAGCTTTTCAAAATCCTTATTCCAAAAAAATTACAAAGGAGTTCCCTTGCCTAAAATCCTGTCGTAGAGTTCTCTTTCCTGGCTGTTGGAGTAGTCTTGATGGAAAAAGAGAGGACATGTAGCTATGAAAGAAAGTATTATAGAAAGTATTAATGACTGTGAGCCTGAGGGCCAGGCCAGAGAGGCGGAGGATGAGACAGACCCTCCTGCCAGCCCAGCCTCTCCCTCCAGTGGTCCCCACGGCAGGTGAGATCTGTGCTAGATTTACCAGAATTGAATTTCTGGTTCCCATCCTTTGTGGAAAATTGAAAAGGAAGGTCTAAGATTGTGATTCATCAAATATCGATCTCACCGAATCTGCTGTGTTCTTCATTTTGTAGATTGAATTTTAGTCTTTCCCCCAAACCCATCATGACTAGCTCGGTCTAGTCAGTCATCCCAAGGGCGTGTTTTCACTATATCCTGTCCTCAAATCTCTTTAGAGACTCCATATGCCACCTGTCTCTCTGACTTATTGCTCAAAGCCCTCCCAGGGGCTGGTTCTCCAGACTTATCTTTTCTAACCTTCCGCACTAGCTAGATTAGTCACGTCACTGTGTCCCGGACATCCTGGATGCTTCTCCCTTTACACTATTCCCCAGCCGGAGTTGCCTTCCCTGGCTGTGCTTTTATCAGAGCCTGTCATTGCATCGGGAGGGTGCAGTGCAAGCGTCCCCTGCTGTCCCTGTGTCTTCTCCTGATGTACTTGGTGCATGTCCTCAGTCTTCATTCAGTTACTTTGTCCTGTATATACACATATCTTCAACATATCTTCACCTGCCAGCTGGACTATACACTCCTTAACAAGTGAGACCAGTTCTAAAAAAAAAAAAACCTTTGTGAATCCTCTGGATTTGTACGTAAATGACAACAATTCTTTATGGCTGTAGATGCTCCACCTGGGACCTCAAGCTTGGCTACACGTTGGAATCACTTGGAGAGCTTTAAAAATGACTGACACATAGTTCCCATCTCCAGAGGTTCTGGTTTAATTGGTCTTGAGTGTGTGCTGAGCACCAGGACTTTACTAGCTCCTCTTGTGGTTAAATTGTGTAGCCAAGATTGGGAATTCTTTGTTCTGGAATGGACAGTCACAGTGTCAGATGATAAGATTTTCCCAAACACCTGCAAGTATTTGCAAATGTTTTTATTGTTCTGAACACTTTTTTAACAGGCATTCAGCTTTCACTGGGATAAAAGATATGATGTGTTCAACAGATTACTGTTTATCTGCAAGAAAGATGATAGTACGCTTAATTGGGAAACCAGGCAGTGTGTTGCAAATGATACCTTTTTTTTTTTAAAGTTAAATTGAGGTGCCAAGACTAAAAGGAAACATGAACACTAAAATCACACCACTTCATGTGAAAAGAAAGAAAATACATTAAAGGGAGAAAAAACTTGAAATATATCTGTCTTAGTTCAAGCTGCTATAACAAAATACCATAGACTGGATCGATTGTAAACAACAGAAATTTATTTCTTTTGAAGTTCAAGATCAAAACGCCAGTAGATCCAGTGTCTGTTGAGAGCCCACATCCTGGTTTTTGCAGATGGTAGTTTTCTTGTTGTGTCTTCACATAGCAGAGAGAGAGAGAGCAAGAGAGAGCAGTCATCCTTCTCAAGTCTGTCCTTATAAGGGCACTAATCTCATTCATGAGGGCTCCACCCTCATGACCTAATTACTTCTCAGAGGCCCCACCTCCAAATACCATCACATTGGGGATTTAGGCTTCCACATCTGATTTTGGGCAGACAGACACATTCAGTCTATAGCAAGGACTCAATGGTTTATGAGACATTTGATAAGTGTCTCAGGTGGGGAGGGTATAGGTCAGTGGTAAAGTGTGTGCTTAGCCCACACGAGGTCCTGGGTTCAATCCCCAGTACCTCCATTAAAAAATAAATAAGCCTAATTCTACCCCCCTTCTCCCTGCTACCTGCTCCCCCCCCCAAAAAAGAAAAGATAGTTTCAGAAAACAGCCTGGGGCATGCTTTATTTCAAAGAATTTATTACCAAGTCCAGCCTTTGGAAGAAAGAGAACATAAAGTAAATTATGGAGACTAAAAATATCATTTACGTCTCTGGTTTCTTAGTGTTCTCATTTTAATTAGTAGAAGAAACCCTTATCCATGCATAAGTTACTAATTTCATGTTAGAGTTTTATTTAGGTTGAGAGTCATCACTCATTCTTTGAAGAAAATTAATAATTAAATAAATCTCACATAGTAATAAAATCTGCCAGCTTTGTCCTCAGCCTCGTTGGATTCCTGGTTCCACCATTTACTGTCTGTATTTGGGCAAGTTACTAAACCTCTCTGACTCCTAGTTTTCCTCGTCTATAAAGTGGGGATAACTATAGTGCCTTTCTCTGCGGGTAGCTGTGAAGATTAAAAGAGGTGATGCCAGCGAAGCTCCTTTCTGAGTGCTCACCACTTACTAAGTGCTCCGTGAGTGTTAGTGGTGGTGACTATGGTCATGACAGCAGCAAAACGTTTCTAAAGATTTAACTCTTTATTTTGAAGTACAGATTAAAAATTGAAGAACTCTTCTGCTCATTGAAAGCAGGCTGAACACTGATACCCCTCCAAAATTGTTGTGGCTGCTGGGTGTTTTTGTTTTGTTTTGTTTTTGTCTGTTTTTAACTTTTTATTCTTAGACTACAATAGTCTAATATATTCCCTAACACTATTTACCCAATTTTACCATCATTTTGCTGTTTGTTTTATTATTCTTTCCCTCTCTCTCTCTCTACACACACTCCCATGTTATTTGTTTATTCTGAATCGTTTGAGAGCATGCGTCCCCCTTACACTTCATTATGTATTTCCTAAGAATGAGGATATCCTCTTATGTAGCCACAGAACTGTTAGCAAATTCAGGACATTTAATACTTTAATCTACAGCCCTTGTTCCAGTTTTATCACTTGTCCCAGTAATGTCCTTCACTGCATTTTTTCCCTCCAGGCCAACATCTGGTCGAGGACCACTTACTGCATTTCCCTATCATGTCTCTATAAGTCTCCTTGAATCTGGGACAGTTCCTCAGCCTCTAGTGTTTTATGACACTTTTGAAGAGTATAGGCAAGTTGTTTTACAGAATAGCCCCCAGTGTGGGTTTCCCAGGCTCTTCAGGATTGGATTCAGATTATGCGCTCTGGGCTGGCTGTGTCCTTCTCAGGGAGTCACATCTGCGGGCACAGATGTCCCTTTGCCCCTTGTCGGTGACGTTGGTTTGGGTCACTTGGTCAAGGTGTTTTCTGGTTTCTCTGCTGTGTAATTACCATGTGCTGTGTGGTTACTGGGAAATATGAAAGGCGATTCTTTGAGATTCTGTAGGTGTCCTGTCCCTTCTCTAATGCCCCCTCCTTATTATGTAGCTACTGATGATTCCTGTCTGATTCAGTATTTACTTTGAAGGTAGCAAAATGGTGCATTTCTAACTTCACTCCACCATTCCTTTTTTCTTTTTCTTTTTTTTTTAATTGAAGTACAGTCAGTTTACAATGTGTCAATTTCTGGTGTACAGCACAATGTTTCAGTCATGCATATACATACATATATTTTGTTTTCATATTCTTTCATTAAAGGTTATGACAAGATATTGAACATAGTTGATTAAAAACAAACAAGTTTTTTCTATGTGGCATCATTCCTTCTTACATTTGTCATCATTCTGCTGGAAGGAAGAGCTTTTCCTTCTCTCCCATTTTTTATTTACTTACCTACCTATTACTATCAGCATGAAATTATGGATTCTTACTTCTTTCATGGAATTATAATATATTCCTGTCCTTTTTTATTTTGATTCTCAAATTGTCCCATATTTTGCCCTTTGGGTACAAGCTGGCCCACGTATCTTTATGACATGCCCC